AGCAAGCGGGAGACTGCTCTGGCGCCAACCAGGTTGGGCCCAAATGAAGCCTGCAGGGTCACTGGCCTCATGGCAGAAAAACCGAAGTCTTTTATTCAGGTGCTGGCCAAGCTGTTTCCTTAGATCTCACATTGTCAGCATCTGAATAAAAGACTCCGGCTTTTCTGCCACATGGGTCAGGCTCTTCTAGAGCTCTGGAGATCTTTGAAAAGTAAAAAAAAACCAAAGGGAAATGGGAGGGGGCAAGTGAAATCCGGGATGGGGATAGGGGGGAAAATAGGCAGGAGCCATATTGCATTGTCTCTGCGCTTGGTCGTAAGAGTGAATGATTGCGGTGGTATAACTTATGTAACTTTGGGACCGAGTCGTAAATACTTTTTTTTGGGGGGGGAGGGTGTCACAATTTTGAACAGTTGTTAATTGAACTGCTGTAACTCAAGGAATACCTGTAATAAGACATCAGTTGTCAGATGTTTTATAAATCCATACTTAGGGTTTTTGTTGAAACCAAGGGCAAAAAAGAAAGCTGCTCCATTTTCTGAGATAGGTACCCCAATATGGCTCAAATTTCAGATCAGGCTGAAATATAAATCTCTATTCTTAAAAGACTGGATACTGCTAGGTAAGTTGTTTTATTGCCAACAAAAAAGTCATATATCAGCATATACAGAATCACATAGATGACATTGTAGAAGGAATATGGCAGTTAACAAAACATAAATTAAGCCTGGGAAAGGAAGAAAGTATTATAAAGAAACTTAAAGTGACTTTGTCTTAACTCTGGTTCTCATAAGAGACTGGTTTTATAACTCTGGTCTAACCAGCACTAGTCCTTATCTTGACACCTTCATCCCTTACACAGTGTCTTTCATGCTTCTTCATCCAGAGTCTAGAACTAGAGATATCTATATTTTGGCTTAGCCCAATATGTCATCTGTCATCCCAAAGGTTGTATTGGTAGCAATACAAGGTTGTATTGGTAGCAAAATACTTGCTATAAGGTTCCTTTATTTTAGTTACGTTTGTCTGATTTATAGTCCCCATAATCATTACGACTGAGCGGATTCCAGTGATATCTTTCAAATATAAGGAGATAAGGGGCTAAACTATCAGAGAAACTACAGCAAGTACAACAGCAATACCCTTCCTTTTTTGTCTACAAAAGAAAACCCTAAATAATAGGTTTCATCAAAATGGAACAAAATTCACTTACTTGCTGTGCTGGCTCTGCACATTATATACTCCTGTGCAATAGAGTTCTGATATTCTGTAGATTTTCAGATGATTGAACAAAATAGTTTTGTTAGGTTTTGTTGGGGTCTTGTTCTCTAGCACCCCAGAACAACCTAATTCCTCGATTCTGACTTAAAGTAGATATACAATTAACATATTGTAATAATGTGCAAAGAATGTCCCTCTGTTCCTCCATTCTACAATGCTAATTTCTCATAAAATAAATAAGAATGCAGTTGAAAAAGCTATAAGAATATTAAGGCTTCCCAGTTCAGTCTGTATTTTGTGAATTTGTTTTCGTTCTTTGCTTGACAGTTGCTTAATCTACATTAACAGGAGGTGATTTCTGTTTTTTAGTCTTCCGCTCACAAGGAACTGATGGTACTTCCAATTTAATCCAACATAGGAATACTTTCCAAAGAATGTCCAGTTCCAACTTTAAGAGAGATAAACATAATGAAATGAAATCCCACAATACATCTAGCTCAGTGGTTCACAACCTTTGGTGGCCTGGTGTGTGGAAAGATTGCTCCTTGCAAGTGGTAGGCATGCACGTGCATGTGCACAGCTCCATTTGTGAGAGCGAATCAACATTCGTTCACAAGTGCATGCTGCTCACACGAATCGACATTCACGCCCAAGCGTACGCCACTCACATGAGTGGAGCTTTGTGCATGTGCTCTTCTGCTGCTCATGTGAGTGGAGCTGCGCATGCACACACGTTCTCCTACTGCTCACACGGTCCAGTTCCAAATAGGTTCCGGCCTGGTAGTTAGGAATCCTTGATCTAGTTAACAGTAAGATATATTTTCAGAATTTCTTTTCAGAGAGTACTGTTTTTAACTCCACTTAAGTAATGTTCACAGTAATTTTGGGAAATTTAGAACAGGCAGACTAAAATTGGTCTATAGTACCAAAGATGTTTTTTCAAAAGGCAACTGGATTTTCTTCATTTTTCTTGAAGACATTTTACTTCTCATCCAAGAAGCTTCTTCAGTTCTGACTGAATGGTGGAGAATGGAAGGATTTATATTCCTTGCTGTCATCTGGTCATTAGTACTTTCTCTGAGAATCATTGAGGCCACTTGGAGGTTTATCTAGACCTCCAAGGTCACCTGAATAATGCAAATGGGTGTGGAACCTTCTTGGAACTGCTGAAAGGACTGTGTTGTTAACAGGAAATAGTTATTATATGCCTCCCCCTCTATTGAGAGAGGGCTATTCAATTTATTGTAGATGACCTCTTTGACTCCTTTTCCAAACAAGTAGTTCTCTCTCCAGAATGAAGATGGACTGCTGAATCTTGTCTTGATGGGTTTGTTTTCCTGTGTTGTGCCATGTGTTTGTGAAGTAGTTGTTTTGTTTCTCCAAGGTACAGATCTGTACATGTATCATTGCATTGTACTGCATATATCACATTGCTCAGTTTGTGTGAGGGTGTTTTATCCTTGGGGTGGCCAAGCTTCTGCCATAATATATTCTAGGGTTTAAAGTGTGCATGTGTATGTTGTGTTGACCAGATGATTGCAAGGATATATATCCTTCCATTCTCTACCATTCAATTAGAACTGAAGAAGCTTCTTGAATGAAAAACAGAATATCTTCAAGGAAAAACAAAGAAAGTCCAGTTGACTTTTGAAAAAGTCAACTTTGGGATAATCATGCCCTGGATGACTCCATAGACATTGGTCTATAGTGGTTAAGGTACCAAGCTAGAAATCAGGCAAGAAATCAGAGTAGTAGTTTTGTCTTAGACTCAAAATCTGGCTGGATGATTTTGGGCCAGGCACTCTCAGCTGACCCATCTCACAAGGTGGTGGTTGTGGGGAAAATAGGATAAAAGAGTATGTTTGCTGCCTTGAGTTATTTATAAAAATAAAGTGGAATAAATGAATAAATAAGATAATCATGAATTGGTTTGGAAGGAATTATAAAGCACTGAACTTGATTAGCAACTTTAGTTTTCTATTACTCTAAAAATGTAGGTAGATTACTTGCAACTTTATAGATGAGTTGGTGTCTTGATATGTGTAGTAAAATAGATTCAGAGAGAAAAAGATGATCAGAGCATATTTTGATGTAGACATCATATCTGTTAGTATCTCCTTAAATCAGGAATGGCTCTTGATAAATTCCTAGCTATTGTTATTTGTCTAAAATCATGTATGTTGATCCTGCAATATTGTTTCAGTGGTTGAACAATTTTATACCTATGCAGTATATTTTTCCAATTGAGGTCTCTGCCTGACATCTCTACTGTTTTGGTAGTGGGGAATGTGCTTCTGTTACTTTTAGAGCACCCAAATGGCCAATTAGGTTATTTTTCTCTTTTTATGAAAAAAAAGATAAAAGAAGGAAACACAACTTATTCTAGAAGAGTGTAGCCACCTTGGACCTTTCCTTCCACCAGATTCCTTAGGTAGTATATGAAAAGTTGTTACATGAAATCCTGTGTCTTCCTTTACTTAGAAAATTTTAAATATTCTTCCAAAGTTATCATTGTCATCCTTCCCCTTGCATAAATGACATAGACAAATAATATATTTTTCCATAGTAGGAAAACAAAGTATTCTCTATCTTGCCCTTACTCTTAAAACAGATAGGTATCAGAACCGGAATTGGACAACTCGCCATGCCAATCTGCTCCAGCTGACTCATTGCAGCCAACTTGCCACAGGACAACTCGCCTCAGACAAATCACCATGAATAATTCAATGCAGGATAACTCAAGTGAGGGAAAAGTAAATTGCAATGGACCTTGTCTTGCTTTAGTTTTGAACCTTCTCAAGTTAGAAGTCTTCAAGGCTGAGATGAGCCAGAGCGTGGAGTCCTAGCAACATTGAATTGTCCCATGGCGAGTTGGCCACAGCAAGTTGTCCTGCACTGAGTTGGCCATGAAAAATCGCCTGTGGCAAGTTATCCTAGATCCTATTAGAACTGCTGGCCAGGGAGTATCACTGTTTAATCTTTCTAGATTGTAGTCCTACACAGCCTTATAGTTACGTTCAATCTTCTACAACTACAGGACTGTATTTACATAATGAATATCACGTCCCATTCTATTAGAAGTGCCTGTATTTCAGTAGTTTTGTGTACCCATGGTCTGCTAGGTGACAATTCGCAGGAAAGCAGCATGGTCCTCAGTGTTCCTTTTAATGGGGTATTATAAGCTTAATACCCTTCAAGAAAGCCTCCTTTTGGCTTTCCTGAAACAAGTCCAAAACATACAAAGGGCAGTAAGATTAAGTTATGTGCAGATAGCAGTATCTAAATGTGTATGCTGTTTAAATTGACTTAGTCCAAATGGTTAAGAATATAGTAAAAATAGGGACTTTGCTTAACTTGGCTTCTTCTTTGGAATTAACATTTTTTTCACTCCCATCACTTTAAGAAACAATGGAAATGTGCATTTCCAGGACCCCAATGAAATTATTGCAAAACATTTTCTGATCCATCATTTAAAGAAAGTTGTTTTAATGTGGCTATTGGAACTATTTTCTTCTAAAGTGGTATAGAAGCCTGTTTTAAGCTAAATGACTAATCTCACCAGCAATTTCAATTACTTAATCTCTAACTGCTTGGAAAGCTCCTTAGGAAAAATCACAGCTAGCAGTAAATAATCATTTGGTAAATTCAAAGGTTAAAATATGTGGAGAGTCTCTGTTAAGTTATCTTTAAGTTGTTACTAGTGTACCATTAGAGAAGCAATTTCAAAAAGGCATTTAATAAGGTTATAAATTGTTATTTTAATTGATTTATTGCTTAAGGTTCCTGTTGCAAGAGCCAGCATTCTTTGGCTTACTGGAGAATATTGTGAACGAGTTCCGAAAATAGCCCCTGATGTTCTAAGAAAAATGGCTAAGAGCTTCACTGTGGAAGATGATCTTGTAAAACTGCAAATTTTAAATCTCGGCGCAAAATTGTATTTAACCAACTCAAAACAGGTAAGATTAAAATACCATTGATGTGTGAAATCACAAACATAACTATGTAAATAGTTCATTAAATCTGACTGAATAAAACTTTGAATGAATGGAACAGCCATTTATAAAATGTATCCACTTTGGAAATCATAAAATTAAAGCCCACAGTCACCACTTTAATATTCAGAAACATATAATCTAAAGCAACTTTGTCTTGAGGCCTACCTTCATAAGTGTATTTTAAAACTGAAATCCATAAGTTCAAAACTGAATCCTTGCTGAGACAAATTTCTGCAAATGTTTCAAGGCATTGGATAAATTTCTACTTAAATGCCAAACATTACCAAATAATCAAAACACCCTTCACTTGTGTCAGTAACATTGATGATGGTTCATATCTAATATTCTGGTTTAGAACGTTGGAATGAACAACAGTCAGAGGACCAGTATATACTCAAGGATTCAAGAAGGAACCAAAAAAAGGGTGTGTGTGTTCCCTTTTACTTCTGCTGTTGGACAGGTTTTCAGAAAGGAAGAAATCAGAAAAAGAGAGTGATTTGCACTGGTTTCTGGCAAGTTCTGGACAAAGGACCAGTTTAGTTTGCAGTACTAAAAATGTACCTACTCATTACTAGCAAAATTGGGCCCTAGCTGTTCTAATAGAAAATACCAGACTTACTCAGCTATGATAGTGTATGAAGCCAGAACCCACCCCTGCCTTGGGCAGTGACATGCGGTGAGATTTATGGCTGGTGAGGCAGCATTTTTTTTAGACTTGTGGACTTCAACTCCCAGAATTCCACAGTGAGGTATGCTCAATTCCGATTTAAAGTGACAGCATTTGTTTTTCTCCTTTGCACATAAATGAATAATGAAAACAATGCAATGAAATTTAGAAGAAGTAGATTTACTGTAACTATGTGATCAAAGGTTCTTCACACCTCACTGGGACTCCTGTCTGCATCTCCCCAAGAGATTTTGCCTAGGTATGCTACTTATTGGCCCAAGAGCTACAAACAACTTTCATGAGCTCAGTTAGAATTCCCATAGCCACATCCCTAGCCTAAACAATGCCTGGGGCCCTAAAGTATGGACATTCCCAGCCTGAGAGGGGTTGTGGGGGGCTTGCACCTAGAACTTGTCCTGCTTTAGACACAAAATAGAGTCCGCTCAGCATTTCTTGGATCCAGTGTCAGAGTTCCATGACAGTTTCATGTATGCACATACAATGAGGACATTGACAAAGTTCAAACCTTGGTTAAGCAGGGAACCATACATATGGCCAATTTATACCTTAGTGGAAGAATGCATGATACTTGGTACAGAACTGCTTGGCACCACCTCTGTTTTTCTAGATATTCCATTGCTGACACCAAGTTGTAGGAGAAGCCTCTCATACACATTTTTTGAAGGCTTCTTTTTTTAAAAAAAAAATCACACAATTTCTGTTGAAGCACAGATAGTTTATGATAGTACCAGAGACAGCTGAAACACCATTCCAGTATCTCGACGTATGCAAATTAGTATACATACCAAATTTCCTGAGTACTTGGCCTTATTTTCAGGGAGGTCTTATTATTTTTGAGTGCAGAAGGTGACGAGCGTGGTCACCTCATGGCTGCTGCTGTGTTGCAATATTTTCGGGAAGGGCTTATTTTTGGGGAAACAGGGTAGTTGATAGAATAAGATTGGAAATAATAGTATTGTATGTAATAATAAGGTCAGATATAATTTCTCTGAGGTGATGGAGTGGAATTACAAAAATAGCGGTCCATTGAAATATCCTAATCCTAATATCGTCTCCCAGCTTTATCAGCATTCCTTAGCCTTCTAAATTTTTTATGGCTGAACTGACAGAATTTATTATTTCTCAAGTCCTTTTCAAGGTAATTAGACAGGAGGATGTTTCTTCTTTATTTCATTTGTCCTAACTAGCATATAACTAGCATCATATTTTCCCCTGCACAGGATGGGAACATTTATAGGGAGATAATTTCTTAATTATTTGCAAGATCTTTCTTTCTGGCCTTATCACCTGTGTGTTGAATAAAATTGTCAAGAGGCAGTTACTTATAAACCCTTGTAATAATTGTATGTGAAAGCCAATAATAATGTTCTTTTATGTAGCTAGTATTATCTTGAATTGTCTTTGCAGTAGTAGCAAATGCAGGCTAGTTGGTAATACCAGCCATTCCCTTTTTACTAAGTTTGAATGTAATGGAGTAAGTTGAATATCAGTAGTAAGGTAAAACTTCCTTGAATTGACCTTGATTTCTGGTGATTATGTGGATGCCATTGCCTTTTCCCAGGATTACTTATTTTCCAATAGCCCAAAACCCTGGAATTACTTGATAATCTCTCACTGAAGTATTATTCAGATCCCACCTTCTTCATTATAATAGTCAGCTCAGATCAATATAACTATTCATGGTAATCATTTAACAATCAACCCAGAAAATGGCCACTATTATCAAATATTTTAAACTTGAGAATTACATGGGTTTATACAGTGTGGTAACCTAGGTTTTATTGAAGTTTCACACTTCTGTTTTCAAATACACATTTTTCCACTTTAGTGGTCTAGCTATGTCTTTTTAGTGAGAATGAAAATGGATGAAAGAAGAAGATAAAAAAATGGTTCCCAATTCAGTCTGACAATCCGTGGAACTGGCAATCAGAACAGACATAGTAGACTTGACTTACTGTTGGTATTCCAATACTAACAAGCACTGAAATTAACAGAGAAATTACCAAATTACCAGGAATATTAAATATTAGGATTCCTTAACAGCTAACAGCTAAAGAAATACCTCTTTGATCTCTTTTAATACTATTTGGTAGTTAAAACTAATCAGGCAACTGGGGAAATTATTATCTTCTGCATTTGTTTAAGTGTGCTGCTTAAAATGTAACATTTCAGGAATAATTACAGAATACCAAAACAGTAGATGTGTATTTCAAATAAATACGTTATATTAATGTCATGCATTCATATAAATATATTGTGCTTTCCTAATTTCTTTTTTGAGAAATAATATGTTTATTCATCAGGATATAATTCTGTGCATGCAAAAGTGTGACTGTTGAAAAGATGTTCAGATCAAGTAATGTACATAGCTTATCACAAGCAGAATAAACATAATATTTTCTTTATTTTGTGTTTAAATGATGTATTTTTATATTGTTATCAATTGTGTTTGTAGATATCTGCCAAACCAAATATACAATTTATGCAAACTATTTGTGCATTTCCAATGTTTTTTTATAATGCAAAAATTAAGCAGTATGCATTGAATAATTTTAGTAATTAATATTTCTACATGAAATTAAAGAATGTGGTTATGCTGTAAAAAGCTGAGGTAATATAATTTGCTTTTACGTATATAAATGACCAATATTACCCGAGGCTTTAAGCTGTGAGAGGAAAAATGGAAGAAGTCTTTTATCCTGGTTTTTAGAGGGCATCAGCAGCTTGCTTTTATGAAAAAGTAACAGCTAAATGCACTGCAAATAATTTGCAGTAATCCAGTTCAGTGATTCATGTGTCTGCTTTAATGGGTCATAATTCAGAGTAAAGTAACTGAGTGCAGTCAGAGTGCAGAGACGGCTTGTGCCAGGGACAGTATCTCTTCATAAAACACACCTCAGCAGAAGCAGTTTGCCAGCCTCCTAATACCCTCTGATGTTTTGATGTCCTGCATATTTTTCCGATTAAGTTTTGAGTGCCATGTTTTTAGTTGTATTTCCACATTCATTATTCTCACGTAGGCCCTTCAGCGGGTTTGCCATATATGATTATTTTTTTAATGATGCCTTTCTTTCCACTTCAGCAGTTTAATAATCTAGCACATGGCTGCTTCTCAGTACTCAGCATTCACCTCCCCTACGCAGAAGAGGACATGTGCTTTGGCTTCAAAATTCCATTTACTGCTTTCGAAATGCATATTCCCTATGGAACAACATTTGTTTGACATAACCATTCATTTTTATTACCTTTTTAAATATGTTTATCCAGAGTTATCAATAATCATAAATAACTTGTATTTTCTTCTTGTCCTGTTTTTCACAGACAAAATTGCTTACCCAGTACATATTAAACCTCGGCAAGTATGATCAAAGCTACGACATCAGAGACCGAACAAGATTTATTAGGCAGCTTATTGTTCCAAACAACAAGAGTGGAGCTTTAAACAAATATGCCAAAAAAATATTTCTGGTACAAAAGCCTGCCCCACTACTTGAGTCACCTTTTAAAGGTATGCTAGCTATATTTTCTATCTAATGTTAGATAGAGACATGCATCTGTTTTATCTAGTTCTATATATTTAAATAACCAAATGGTCAGCTTAAAAAATAGCATATAAACAATATGATTTCAGCTTTCAGTATTTAAGAAAACAGAATTGTACATTGTTTACTAGTGTGAAATGTAATTAAAAAAACAGAAATCAGATATGATTTAAAAGTTTGTTTTCATATATGATATATGTTTCTGGAAAAATAATCATAATTTGTGCTAAGCACAGCTGTGTAGAAAATATCTTTAGCAGCTTAGGAAGATATCTAACTTCACTTTGGAGAGTATTCATTATACTTCTGATATAGCATCATGAAACTAGAGTCCCATATTCATTTTTGTTGGGATATCAGGATTACTGACGTTATTCTTCTAAATTGTTGCATAGAGAAGGATGCCATGTGGTACCTTCTCCATTGCTATTTAACTAATCCTAAAAAATCATAATTATAATTAGTAATTTTATCGTTTTTCATTATCTGCTTTCTAAATTTTCACATACTATCCTATAGTAATCTTACTTTAAGTCCTGAAAGCAGCACTCGTTTTGAAAGAAAAACTATTAACATTCTGGATGTGTTTGTGCCAAGACATGTATATGGTTTATTTAACTGTGCTGTCATTCTTAATATTCACAGTAAAGTAATTTTTAGAGAAGCTACATTTCAGATCAACACCTTTAAATACACTGACTGATTAGCTTTCTTATTGACCATTATGGGGGAGATTATTGTAATCTATGGACTGGAATCAGTTTTTTGACCTATGAAGAGCTTCTTGTTTATATTTATTCCATGACATTTGAAGTAATGTAATACCAATTACCTTTAGTCCTGATTAAGATTGCTCTTTATGATCCAGTGCTCATGTGTATATTTTTCATATTTCCCACCCTCAAATAGATAGGGAGCACCTCCAACTTGGTACTTTGTCTCATACTCTGAACATGAAAGCCTCTGGCTATCTGGAATTGTCTAATTGGCCGGAAATTGCACCTGACCCATCAGTGAGAAATGTAGAAGAAGTTGGATTGGTATGTTGCCTTTTCAAAATAGCATTTTATACTTCTGGAAACTGTAAATCTATCTAACTATATATGCTTTTCAGGTTTCAGGTGTATTTTAATAAACATAATTGCAAAATAAGGCTTCTGCTACAAATAATTATTTTGAAATTCTCTGCATTACTCTGCTGATGTTCAGTATGTTCTGTCTGATTTCTTATGTTGCTTTCCAACTTCACTTGTTCATGATTAATTACTCCAACCAATTCAGCTTTCCCAAATTAATTGACAAAGTGTTTTCAGATTAATAAACCATAATGGCTATTCTTAGATAATTGCAACTATTGCTGATAAATGTCATTCACTGGACATCCTAAGAAGTTCTGTTTAGTTTCTTCCTTCAATTCTTCAAAACAAAACAAAACAAAACTGATTCTGGGAGTAGGAATGTAGAGCAGGATATATGTTGCATTATCTTTACTGCTGTTGTTACTGTTATTTTTATGTTATCAAAATGCAAAATAGTATTTTCAGGGGCTTCCAAAAACCAGATAATGTGGCTTATTTTAAACAGGTTTTGATGTTGAAAAGTGTGTTTTTAAACATTCCTTATTGTAAAATGGCCTATAAATATAATGACGCTATTGTTTTCTAATAAATACTATTATTCTAGTAATAAATAGTAGTAGAGGATTAAATAAAAATGCCCATATTTTTGCTCCAAATTCATGGGGTTCATATTACTCTGTTTGTGTGTATGTGTGTATACACACACACACAAACACACACACGGACCCAAAAGAGAGCTGTAATGTGTGGATAAGTATAAATATTTCTACTTCAGCTGTATAAACATGTCCATTTATATGAACAGGCAAAAGAACAGACTTCTCTACAAGGAAAGGCAATAAAAGAAACCACTGAAAAATTTTATCCTGAGTCTGATGAAGAAGAGGAGGAAGAGGACACTAATGAGGAAAGTGAGGATTCTTCTAGCAGTAGTGAGAGTGGTATGTTCTCTGAAGGCTCTGCCTCAGTTCATTCCCAGTTTTTGTCCTACTCATTTCTTCTCTCCCAGGGCACTTTCTTTCTCCTTTCCAATTCTTCTTCTGCATACAATTTATTTTCTCATTACTTTACTTGATACTGATGCCATTTCTTTGTTGCTTTTGCCATCATATAGAGCTTCATAGAAACCTTCTAGTATATGAAGGTGCCAGCTAAAGCAGCAGCTGAAGTTTTTTTAAAACAAAAAACAAAAATGTGCCATTGCAGCTGTGTGTTGTGGGGAAACAGAACAAGGAGAGGGAAAGGGCTTTTTAAGAAAAAGATTGGGGGGGAGGTGCTTGGGGATGTGGAGCTTTGTACCTAAAAGCAGTAGTCTTCACACTATCAATACCACTGCATATCATCCAGTTATATTATAGGTGAATGATTCCAGCTTAAAGGTAATGAAAGTATTTGTGTCAACTGATATAATAGGCAGTAAGATATATAAATGCACCCAACCTTTTTACACTCTCTTGTTTATTTTAATCACATCTTTATTTCATATATTCAAAAATAAATACAATTATTGCTCCTATATAATTATACATAAAGCCACTTGTTTTAGGCAATTTAATTACAGGTACTGTGTAAGCCACTTTAAGTTTTTTTTAAATAGAAAGTGGCATGTACATAAATGTTAAATAATATCAAATCTTTGTAGTTCTATTTTCACATTGTGATGCTGGACTCATAAGTTTTGGATCTCCTTTAAAACAGAAAAAGAAAAACTAACCAAAACCAATAGCAATTATGAAATCCAAGCCCTGAAGTTTGAAGATTAATCTCTGAAGTCTGTAGTCTGTTATTGGGTATATAGACAATAAAAAGAATAAGTTGTCAGGGTATATTTCTTTCAATATTTCTTACTTTCTGAGTACTGTATACATAGTAAGATGTGTTTTAGATTTTAATTATTGCTAATGTGCTATGTCTATTTGCTTCAATAATAAAATAGTTATTATTTCAATTTGTATTGCTAGTCAGAGTCATGATTTTAAGATAGAGATAAATTGAAATAATGAATGAATGGTTTGTTACTAACATGTCCAAATGCTTTTATTTTCTTTTTCTCACACCTTCATTCTGATTATATCGACAATGTTTTATCTGCACTGAGTCCTCCCATCTATCATTTTAATGTAATTAAATTATTGAAATACAAGTATGTAAATATAGACACACGTATAAATATAGAAAGGACACACTTTCAAATCCTGTGGGTCTAGTCCTCTGAACACTGGGAAACAAGAGAAAAATTGCTAAAGATTATTAAGGATAATGACTAGAAGCAGTGGACTGAAACTGGGAAAGCGTACCTTCAAGTTAAATATTAGAAACACTTTCCAGCCGATTAGAAACTGAATAACTTGTTTAAATTCCTGATTAAATTGTCATCACTGGATGTGTGTGCAAGAATAGATTAAATACTTAAGTTCGTTCTGAAGAGGACACTATGTTAGAGCAGGAAAGTAAGGATAGAGGACATGTAGGTCATGTCTGATTTCTTTTCCATCATCATGCAAACATTTTATGGTCAAAAACTAAGCCTAGATTTTAAAAATACAATGTTTAAAAGTTATGAAAGCAACATTCTAATGTCACTGTTTATGATAAGATTGTATAAAAATGCTTAAACATCTTTGGAAGATAGTGTTAGAAGCTACTCACCTGAATTGTTCATGCATACAACTAGAAAATGAATCTGAATCTGAGGAAGGAAAGAAAGAAGGGCAAGGCGATACCAGCACGGAAAGTAGCTCAAGTTCTTCTACTGAAGATGAGAATGATAGGAAACCAAAGTCTGAAAAAGGAAATCTAAGAAAAAGAACAACAGTTTCAGAAAGGTATCTATGTACTTGTTTATAATGCTGGATCACAATGTTAAAATTACACAGCCATTTATATTTCACTACCTTCATAGTGACATTCACTTTGGAAAAAAAATTGTCCATTTCTGTATTTTCAGATGATACAGTAACATGTAAGTTGAACAAACCTTTTTGTAAAAAAAATAATAATTCTGTTATATATTTAGATGAGCAGACTATATTAACATAACCTTGGGAGGCTGCACAGCTAGCCTGCCACTTTGTGAAACACTTAGTTACCTTATATAGTAATTTTGTGAAGGATAAAATTAAACCGTTCTATATCTTGCCATTAGGTAACTAAGGCAATTGATTTTTCCCTAAATAATGTTATATTAAAAGGATTATGATTCATATATTAGAGGCAAGGGCTGTGAAGAGAGACGGTCAGAAGCTGCTTAAGGGAAAGGTCTTTTAAAGATTGCCTGTTACTAATAGAGTTAATGTGTATTAAAATGCCATTAAGAATTTAAGTAATTGGGGCTAATACCTTGGATTGTCTGAATCTGTTTCTTCCACTTCTGTCAGCAAGTGGCCTCGGTGGACATGATGGCCCTTTTACTCTGTAGCCTGCCGCCAATGCATTGATGAGTTTGCAGCTCAGCTCAGTCGTGGCTGACAGAGCTGATTGTGGCTCAGTATGCACTGTGCTCCTTTTATTACAGACAGTAATTAAAGCAGCTCGCCCTGCCACTTCCATAACAAACACAGCATAATGCCCTAATTATGACTTTATTAATTTAAGTCAGGATTTAATGATTTTAAAAGTGATTTATATTGTTTTTCCTGTTCAGAACAAATGAAATCTGTAGGTTAAATTAATACAGGCTTTTCATCATTGCAAAGTTAAAAAGCTAGTTACCAGTAAATTTTTTTCATTAGATTAACACATGAAACTCTTAAGCAATAAGATAAATAAAGATTTCCCTATAAAAAAATAAGTAAAAAAAAATAAGTTTGTCCTGAAAAATCATAGCTTCAGATTAGAAATTGGATTTTTTTTTAAAAAGTATTTCATTTCACTAAATGAATACTAAGTTTTGATGAATCATCAGAGGTGGAGAATAGAGGTGAAAGGTATGGATATATTGCTCAAATAGATACTTCTCATATAGAATATTATGGCTTTACTTTTTCAAAAAATGTACTGGTTGATAATATTTCATAAGTGAATATTATAATGTAATATATTATTAAAATAGTATTCACATCATTTTTTCTTATGCTTTTTTTGTATCTTTGTATTGATATTTTTTCTCGAATGTTTTATCAGGATTAAAACTTTACATATATATATTATTGGTTATGATCAGGGCCATCTGTTGTCATTAGGAGATGGTTGGCATATAAATGTAATATTTTAAACCTATTAATAATATTTATAAATATTTTAATACATTTTGGATATGAAATAAAATTAAAAATATAACAGTTAAAAGTGTAACTTTAATAACTTACGGTTTATTATTTTGGTTCCTCAGATAATATTATTATATACTTTCTCCAAAATTTTCAAAATGATTATGACCATATTTAGCTTTTGTTCTAATAATCAAACATATTGTATGATACAATTAATTTATTGAAATGTAGTAGCCATTTCAATTTAGACCCATTTATTTCAGAAATATATATTTATTTTTTATTAAATTTCTATGCCACCCATCTCACATTTACAGTAATTCTGGGTGGCTTATAGAATAATAAACATTTTAAAAGATAAAGAAATATATAATTATATACATCCAAATTACATGCAATTTATATATTTTGATTGTATATATGATTTGGACCCACATATTTTATTTCATTTCTTAAATGTCTTGTGAGTGTCTTGTATGCCACAATTATTTCTCCTCACCAAATCTATGATTAGTCAAATTGTGATTATTGCTAGTTTTGGCTTGCATGAAAATTAGAACAGGATGCTCACTTTATGTAGTTTTTGCAAAGTATAAGTGCAGTATGCCAGAATACAAAGGAGAATATTGTGATATGTGGTAGATGGAAGAAATCACATGAGACAAGAATGCCTTCTTATTCCTGAGTTCTATATCAAGCATACTGTTTGTAGCAAGCAAAGCTTATTATACATATTTATAATTGTAATATTATAATAAATATTATAATTGACAATATAAATTATTAATAATTGAGTATAATACTATATAGTAACATTTTATATTATGTGTACACTAATTTTTGAAGATACAATTTCTGGGAAATGCTGCTGAAAATAATTTCTGTCAAGGCTATATAATATTGTACATATAAATGTTTTAATTCTGTATTTATTTTATATTAGAGATTCCAAAAGAAAAGAAACAAAGAAAGCAAATTCTCAGAAAGAGCAATGTTCTCCCAACTCAGAATCTAGCTCAGCTGAGGAAAGTTCTTCAGATTCTACCTCAGAAAGTGATTCTGAAAATAATTTGGATCCTCTTCCTCCTAAGGTATGTCTTGTATATATTGTTTAGATACACAGATCTTGAAATTATATCGTCAACTGTTTCTGTAAGTGTATATAAGATGCCTCAAAACTTTATGTCGTTTCTTTTGTCTGGATTGGAACTCTTTTGCAAAAGCATTATTTTACAGTTACCAAAAATAAACAGGTGTTTGATTATTATTTTTAAGAAGCCTGTTGGCTGCTAATAACCAACCATTGTAGAATGATCTAATGGATTGGGATGTGTCTATTTTATCATGTATGTTATAAAGCACAAAAATATCAAAAAATTAAAAGATTTTATTACATTTCTATTGCTGGTTATGATAAATCAGGTTGTTATTGATACTCATCTTCTAAGGGAATTGGTTTTTCATACATCATTTGTAAATTTCAAAAATAAATAAAGTAAAACTGAAAATTTAGTTGAAAGCTACACTATAAATTGCCCTGCATCAAAACTTTAATCACTTAATTACTGTTTTTACTCTCCTTAGTCTGAATATGCTCTGGGAAGTCTAAAAATATATGTAACTTCTATAGAAGTCACTTTATGTTTATAGCAATGTGTTAAATAATAGCATTAGTTATGTAGGATATAGTATGCTTGCTGCCCTGAGAAGCTAATTTTCAACCCATGACTACTTTCAATTGAAAACATTAAGGTTGAAGAAATGAAAATTCCAGAGTAGCTTGCATTCTACAAATTTTGTTGCACATTTCCTGATTTTTTCCCCATAAGTTGATTGATTTGATTTGGGTATTTAATTTCAAACATATGGAGCCTGCAAGAATATCTCGATGTTTTCAGTGCCATGAAACTCTGGTATAGGTTGGCGCCTCGGGTTGTCTTCTCATCTTATTGGAGAATATGGAGAAAAGGGCAACCAGGCTAATCATTGTCTTCAGAAGCAAGACAAAATATCAGACGTCTGCTGAATAAAAACATAGAGAAGAAAAGTGCAGTCTACAATTAAAGTTTATTATTTTATAATATACTGAAGTATGTATGGAAAAGCATATATCAATGGACCACAAAAATCATAGTTGTTGCCTTAGAAGCTTGTGGCAGGCTTAATTGCTGTCAAATGATAAGCGCTGCAATCATGCTTATAAAAGCTCATCTGTGGCTGACTCTGAAATACTGAAGGTTGTATTTTATGACCAGTTAAAAATAAGACATCTGCTGTCATGGTTGGCAAGAACAAATATTATAAAGGCACCTTGCAGTCTGACTCAAAAGTTTTATTTCTGCACTAGAGAATGTTAGCAAACATTTTTTTTTCCAAATTACTGATTCTATAGTGAGAGATAATCGGTATAAAAAATATGGCAATCTGCCGACAATTATATCTAATAGATAATCATACAGAGCTACCAAACGATTGCTTGATCAAACAATTATTGACTACAGTAGTTTTCCAAAGTGTCTGATCAGTAGCTGTCCCAGTCTTGCAATCTGAGATATTCTAAAATCTCATGATAATGAGATTTCTTGTTTCATGAAAAAAGGTATATTCAACTTTGCAACATAGTTTCATGCTTTTGTTGAGAATAGACTTTAGCAAATTGCACATCCTGATAGGTTTGTATGACATCTGAAAAGCTATGCTGTATTCTAGTGGTAAGGAATATGTGCCTGCATAATGATAAGTACATAGATGACCTTGGAGAAGGTATGTGAAGACCATTAGCAAAACAACTTGATCCAAGAAAACAAGGAAGCATGAGAAAGATATAAAGTAAAATTGCTCTTTGGTATAAGAGGGAGGGAAGCAGAAATGCTATTCAGCTTCTAAGAATTTGTTATGATGTACTATATCAATTAATAGAATTCTTGTGTTTATGGAGTCCGTTTTCTTACCTGCCTTATCTTATACCCTTTCCAGTTTAGTCTTCATTGGCTAGTTTTTTTTCCCAAGTAGTAGTATAGCAAATACATAGTCAGGCAAATCTCAAACACTGTATATTAATTTTGTATTAGATTTACTTCTTTTATTTCTCTTTTCTCTCTTGATTCTTCTTATCCTTTCATGTAATAGTTTGTTATACCTTTCTTTTTCTATTTTCCTACAGCTGTAACTGCCCTTCGTGTTCTCCCCTTTGTTGAGAAATGAGTCTAAAAAGCAAGCACATTTAATTTCTAATTTCACTATACCTTATTGATTTTTCCCTTTCCTTCATGGAAGTGAAACCTGCTGGTGGAGAGGTCTAAATTCTAGTATATATTTGATCGGACATTCAGGTCTCCACTATAAAAAAAATGCCACAGAAGGCAATAAATAAGCGGATCTGTCTTTATAACTAAGGACTTGGTGGTGGAGAAAGAATGAAAAAGTAAAATATAAGTTTTGGAGCATAGGTTCACATATATCAAAGACAAACATCCTTTTTGAAACTGGGAGCATTGAGGAACGTCAGAGGCAACATCGTAAAGAGACTTCCATGGGGCAATAATCATTCACAGCTTTGACTTTTCACCTTTACAATTGATTTCCATCATATCCAATCTTTTTCTTATATCCAAAGAGCTAAATAATAGAGCTGGAGAAGAGAATGGCATGGCCGATTTGGCAGTAGAGGCAACAACAGAGAGGAGTTGGAACATTTTGTAGAGAAGACTTGAGCATATTGTTGCTCTACATTTTATATCCTTGTTACTATTGTAAGATGCCTTGATTGGCAAGCGGATAGAAAGATGGGGTAAAAATACAATAAAGAAATTTGTTATGGTGATGGCTTTATCTTAAGGAAAGCGATAATTACCGCAGGAATGCTCTTTACTCTTACCTGTTCCTTATAAATGGGCAAGCTAATGCCTAACTGAAGAGAAAATGTATTTCTTTATCTATTTATAGTGATAATTCTCACTTTCACATCAAGGGACATGTTTAAAAAGCTCCTCAAGTTGATCTGGAAAAGCTTGATTTATACAATTCAATGAATCTCTTTGCTATTTATGTACAGATCTTTTTTCCCCCATTCCTTCCTTAAGCTCCTCTAAATGAGAAGTAAAGAGTACATAAGAAACTCATAACTGAATCCTGTTCAGGGCTTCAATAAATATGGTTACTTTACAGACTTATTCTGCCAGGTTGCCCCACTGTGTCTGAATGAAAGATGTTCAACTCCTGCCTGGTAGTTCATCTTTCTGTGGCCCTGTCCCTTTCCTGATCTTGATCAGCTCATCTGCATATTATGAAGAGATTTGGGACTATTCTAATATGGCTCCCCCTTTCTAGTCAACTCATGCTGAGCCTCAGGCTTCCCAAATCCTACAGATGATGTCAGCAATGAGCGACAGTGACTGAAAAAAGAAAGCTTGATTTGGCTCATTCGCTGAGGCCAAACCTAATCCCTGGTGTTAGCACTTGTGTAGGAAAAATATATGTTGCTTCTTTTAGTTTCCATTTTTTCACATCACTCTAATTCAAGGCTTCAGTGTGGAAAATACCACCTGCATGAGAAAAAGTACTCTATGAACTAACCATAAAATTACTTGCAAAAATGTTTCAAAGGTTCTTGCTTGTTTACACCCAAAATACATTCAGTATCAGTTTACTGGATGTTTGGCCTGTGCAAACAGACAGGTTGAAGTCTGCAGTGATATTAGCATGCATTCCCATATGCTGTTTTTTTATGAGAGTGATTTCTTGTTGTGGTGTTGATTCACAGCTTAATATGACTTAGGTTGTAAATAATGTTGAGATTTTACAGATTTGTGACTGTTGGAATTTATTATATCAAAATATCTATACCAAATGTTTTTTATCATGTAAATATGTAAAATTATTTTGTGGAAATAAAAAATAGAACATCTATTTAGAGAAAATAGTGATTGTAAGGAAACTGTGGTTTAAAACCCTTTTTGTTTAAAATAATGATTGTTAGCTCCCTTTAGTGTTCATCTTTCTTTATAAATATTCAAGTACAGTACATTTTTAAAATACATTTTAGAGCAAAATACAAATACCTTTAAAAATCATTTAACAAGGTTAGTTATGGAATTTTTGTGTATTCATAAGAGTTAATTTGAGATGAACATATTTGTATATTTGTATAATGGCATTATATTTGTAATATAATGTAATATTTACAAAATAGAAGTAAAATATCCCCTGATAATTATAGTTAGATAGTACACTGCCTTTAGTTTAGTGCAGTAGACATATAACTTTTAAATTAGCTCTTTACATAAAGATAAAACCCTTTAAAAGTATTTGGAAAAAAATAAAATACTGAAATGTATAATCACATACTTTAAAAAAAGAATTTAAGAAGAATTTAAGATTTGACTATAATGCACAGGTAAATAAAACTCTTTGTAGTTACTATTGGCCTTCTATACAAGCCTGGTATAGTCAGTCAACTGTTAAAAACCTGGTTCACTGTTTAAAAAAAGATATAAAAACAAATTGTCTATCTTTCTGCCTGATCTCTTTTCAACTGCTAACACAATGGAAACAGTAGGTGATCAGTCAGTGCATTTGGTTTGTCAATGGTGGTTTTGTATAAATATTGGAAGGATAAGAAGCAGAATTCGCACTGAAAAATATGATTTCATCTGCCTCTTCTCTGCAGTTCCATGCCTCATGCTGCGGTGTGAAATTCTCATTTTACACACTTTGCAGGCGGAGCACATGAATTATGCATTGAGCAAGAGAAATCTCCTGCTTCAGCTCCTATATGCATTTACCCAGGTTCTGTCTCTATTATCAAGATGAATTGAAAATAGAGAAATGTTTGATGGGATATGGCTTAACTTCTTTGTTTAGCATTCAGCTATGGGCTGCATTCTCTTCTCTAAGGGGGAAACATGTTTATTTTATATGTCTATCTGGATTGTAATTTTAAAGAGAGAACAGAGATATTAGTGTTCTAAGTTCAATTTCAGTTAAAGTTCCTGTAAATGGAGAACGTCAGCATTGGTAAGTGTGTTGGGTTTACTTTTTTTTTAAGTTTTAAAAAATAATGAATAAGCTTGGCAAGTTTAGAATGCTGTAG